CACGGGGGGGGGGGTCCCAGGTCCCAGACGGGGGTGCCGATGTTCCCGACGAGGGGAAAAATTTCCTCGATGAGAACACTTTTACATGAGGTATTTTCTATTGTACATCACAGGCGATTAGTTATCGATGGTGAAGAATTTTACTATATAAGAGTGTCATATCTGGCAATCTAGAGGTACAATTTCCCCAAATTTTACCACCTCAGCCCTAACTGTGGTGAAGCTGAGAGACGTGTGGACTCCCAGGTAAAGTAAATACATCAATGTTTTTAAGTTTTACTTTCTATGGTCACGTACACCACACATACTAATTAAATCTCTATGGTTGCCGAAAATAGCTGATAAAAGATCATGAGAATTTGTTTGCGTTTTATTTTGACTATATTATAATGGTGATGTGATGATGAATTTTTCTATTTAAAAGTGTCACTTCGAGCCATCTTGAGGTACTTTTCCTCAAATTTTACCCATGAATGTGGGCACACGGCTTTGAGGTAGGTCGAGTATATTATATACATCAAATAAAGTGTTTTAGTTTTATTTTCTATGGTACATCACTCGTATGAATTAGATCTCTGTTGTTGCCGAAAAAATTATGATCACGACCCATCCAGAAAAAAATCCTGGATACACCCCTGTAGATTACTGATTAAAATGTAAAATATTTAAGATTTTACATTCAGTACATTCTCAAATGTCATGTAAATCTCATATGTCCCATAAATTACGTTATAGTCATGCAACAAAGTGGAAAGTTTAACCTAATAATGTTGATTTGTTTTATGTTGTTTGCTGATTGGTCTTTAATGATATTACAGTCTAATATGACCAATAAAAGTCCTCTCTTTTAACTTTTAAACTTCTATTGCGTAGCTCAATATACAGGTACATGTATATTTCCTTAAATCATAAGGAAGTCCACTCGTTAAATTAGCATAGATAGTACTGAGAATTTTGATTGACTGTCAATTTCAGATATTCAAATTATTTTTAGGAAATTACGTTTTATGCATGCACCAACGTGAGAACTTTGACCTAATAACTTTGATATGTATATGCTTTATGTTGTTTATTGAATGGACTTTTTTAAGAGTAATATTAGTCTAATATGACCACAACATAAGGAAGGCCACTCTGTAAATGTTTAGCATAATATACTACAGAGAATTCCGATTGTTTATCAATCATTATACACATGTTAGATCCAAATTGTAATTTTATGTCATGTGTTGATTGGTCTCAGTTAATAATATTACAGTTTAGAATTCATATTATGATAACAACTTCGTCATACTATAAATTATAATAATAATGCAATTCTGTCAACAATTGTACTCTGACCATCTAAAACCAAACTTGATTGGTGTGATTTTATTTCCACCAGAAAATTAATTAAATATGCATAATTGTCTTTTGTGATTTTAAAATAACAAAATATAATAAAATGATACATGCCTTCCAATAAAGTTATAAGAATCAACGCACATGTTTGTTCCCCTTGTGACCAGTCTGTCACGAGTTAACAAATAGGCTATCAGTTCCTTTTGAATTGCCTTTTACAGTACTTTTACTATATTTAAGTCAATTACAAACTTGAATGAAAAAAATACCTCTCCTGTACTCTTCAGTAAGAAAAGGATTTTTGTAGTAAAATTATCAAAATTATTAAACATAGGAATGATTTTTAAAAAAATCTTAAAATAGGCCTATTTAATGAATATTATGTGTGCTAGATTGCAATAACTGTACTTTCCCATAAAAAATGAAAGAAAAAAAAACATATTCTAACCACTGAAGGATTGATTGATTGATTGATTGATTGATTGATTGATTGATTGATTGAAATCAGAGTCATAGAATACATACATTTTAGAAAAAAAAAAATTTACAAAAATATCTGACAGGATAAAAAATTGCACAAAAACATGACCCTAATTACAAGCAAAAGCCCCAAAACATGATTTAAAAAAAAAAATTGGTCCTTGCAAACACAGAAACATAATTGCACATTTAATTGTAATTGCTTTCACCAACACCATCATTATACTGTATTCCAATGTTTACAGTTGTTCAATTCGAATTGCTGTTTTGTCAAAATGTGTCTTCCGACGGAGAAAGGGACCTCAGGATGTATATCCCCATGTAGGGATTTAGAGGCTTATCCCTGATACCACGTGATTTTATTAATTTGTACTAGGGCCTACTTGTAGGCTATATCTTTGTCAAATTAATTAAATTGTTTACTGCATACCGTATCTGTTTTCGAAATAAATCAAAATCAAATCAAATGATCAAAAAATATTTTTACGATCTGATTCAAAAGCTTGATCTTTTTAATCAAATGAGCATATTCAATTAATTTCAATTTAATTTACTTTTTTTTTAAATGATTTTAATCCTTAATTAATGGCAGACAGTAGATCTTTTTTTATGTGAAGATTGTTACGTATCCGCGAAATGAAATAAAAAATAAAAAAGTAAACATGATAGATGGAGGAATAGTTATCAAGCGAGTAAATTTGCACGTACGTGTGCGCCGTAAGATCACGCATGCATGTCATCAAGTCGGGACAATCTGAACCAAGCCGAGGAACCACCGAACCAATCTTTGACCGGCGAACCGAATCGTAAACAGCTGATCCAAGATGGCGAGCTTCAGCACAGGTGTAGCGAGATATGGCCGAACACTTTCCAGATGTTCATACCTGTTCCAAAGACAGGTTCTTGATTTTCCCTTAATATTGTCGTATAAATAATATTAAATATATATATTTAGCCTGTATATTAAGTTTTCTAAATGCTAGGCCCATCGGTAGCGTTGTAAAGGCCAGGCCTAGGCCCTGGGCCTTAATTACCTTTGATCTTTTGTTTGAGGCGGAGTGAGAGGCTGTCTCCGTCTTTTACTTACTTAGGCCAGAGAGGCCTAGGGCACGTTGATGCTGGCTTAGCTTGGTAAATCTGTGCACTATCAATGAGGTGTATCATATATATATATAGGCCTAGTAGTTAGAGAAAGAAATAATAATAATTATAAAAAAAAGAAATAGACCCTCCATCGTGAAATAATGAATAAAACAGTCTTACATTGTTAAAACTGTAAGTAATATTTGCAACACCCAGTGTCTACCAAATCCAGAATACTTTGTAAAACAGCACCCAACATGTTTTCTTTTTTTTTTTTTTTTTTTTTGTTAGGCTGTGGCATGTCCGTCCATCACACAGACCCGAAACTTGAATCTTCAAGAATATCAGAGTAAAGACTTAATGGCAAAATATGGATGTACAGTACAGAGGTTTAGAGTCACAGATAATCACTCAGACATTGTAAAACTAGCCAAAGAATTAGGTAAGTGATAATTGAATGCATAGCAACATTGTCATGATAAGTTGATAAGGTCATAATATACCCCTGCCAAATCTCATGCATTAGCATCTTCTTTTCACATGACATGTCATACCTAAATTCTATTATTTCATGCATCATAAAAATGTAAAAAAAAAAAACAATGTATAGGCTGATTGTACCCCAAAATTAATAATAAAATAAAGTGAATTTGTCATTAAAACGTGAATACAGGTCATATAAACTTCTTTTAAACGAGGACTGTAATCCATAGCAATTAAAAAAAAAAACACAGATGGCACAGTTTTTTGTGATTATTACATAGAGGCGCGACATACGATTAAAAAAAATTTTTTTTTTGGTCTCGCAGGTATAATAATTATGTAAATGTTGTAACATGCTTGATTGATATCAGCATTGTTTCAATTTTCAGGTGCGGAAGAATATGTGCTGAAAGCCCAAATCCTTGCAGGGGGCAGAGGCAAAGGACATTTTGAACCAAGTGGATTTAAAGGTGGAGTCAAGTTAACAAAGGAGTAAGTTTACGTGTTTCAGTGTCAGTGTGCATTTTTAACGACATCTTAATGTCATTTAAAGACGACATTTACTGTCTTCAAAAAATGAGCAGGGGATTGTCTCTTGGACTTGGGTGAACTGTCATATTCACCATAAATATTGGTCACTCTGCAGTTGCAACAGGTTCAAGTGCTCATGAAAATTTGTTTCCCAACTATGACTAACTAAATCTACTGTTCTTTATATTTTTATCTTGCAGTCCAGAAGAATTAAGTCCATGGGTTAAACAGATGATTGGCAACAGGTTAATTACAAAACAGACTCCAAAACAAGGTGTTTTAGTGAGCAAGGTAAGGTTAAGTACGGTAGAAATATTAGAGCAGAGCTTCTGTGGCAGGAAGTCCAACACGATTGTCTGATATTTAAAAAAACCTGTACGTTTTAATGATTACAGCATTTTCCCCTGGTACCTTGATGTGTCCCATAAAACTGTTGTGTTTGGGTCATCATTCACAAACTAGACCAAAGGGCACCCAGCCACCCTAGTGGTGTTCAGAGGAAGAGTTTATTGTAGAGGTTTGCTCGAAAAGGACATTTGGCTAAACCATATAATCCCTGGTTTCAGGCCTGCAATATACTTTTTAACTTGACTAATTGGGACATTCATTGTCTTATGATCTTGTTAGGTTATGGTTGCTGAGGCATTTGATATAGCTCGGGAAACCTACTTTGCTATTCTGATGGACAGAGCTCACAATGGCCCGGTGATGGTGGGCAGTCCGGCCGGTGGAATGGACATCGAAGAGGTTGCGGAAAAAACGCCAGAACTTATTTTCAAAGTATGTCACTTATAAATCTTCTTTGACAAAAACTGGTGTATGCCCATATATAGTCATGATGTGCCTATATATGGTCATGATGTGATGTCATCATGACCATATTTAGGCATGTCACATGTTTTTGTCAAATCAAATTTGATAGTCTGGACAGGGCTTAATAATATGTGAGATGATTTGTTATATTTATATCTACCAAGTCATCTGGAGTTTGATTTTCTTTTGGACTATATAATAACATAGAAATTAAAAATATCTGTATTCTATAATCATCTTGTATTTAACACACAGATACCTATTGATATTAAAGAGGGAATGACAGATGAACAGGCCATGCAGATGGCTAAAAACCTTGAGTTTAAAGGAGCATCACAAAAAGAGGTTTGTTTATTCATCCCTGTTCCTTACTCTTATTCAACAAATTTAATTGCCAAAATGATGTAACTTAAAAGTGAACAAATCCATTAATATATTCACATATAATATTACTGAGTTAACTAGTAAAAATAAGAAATGATAATAATATTGGCGGTGATGAAGATGAAGGCAAGGATGGTAATTGTGGTGGATATGTTGGTGATAATAGTGATGGTAATGGTGGTGGTGGTAGCGATGATGGTGGGGGTAATGGTGGTGGTAGGGATGATGGTGGTGGTAGTGGTAGGGATGATGGTGGTGGTAATGGTGGTTGTAATGGCAGTGATAGTGATAATATTCGTAACGCTGAAAGTGGTGGCAGTGTTCATATTAACAATTGAGACAATGTTGACAATAATGTTACAGTGACAACGACGATTGTGACTGTGCCAATACTGACAACTATGACAGCAGCAACAAATACGTGTAACTTTAATTAAGCGTAGTAGAATCTGTATTCTCAAATCAGTCTCATTACCTTACTTGTACACATTTTAACCTCATCGAACCTTATAAATTTATGTTCTAAAATTTTAATATACAGCACTTTTTGTTTTACAGGCAGCTGAACAGATAAAACGTATGTACAAATTATTTTTAGGAGTGGATGCCACGCAGGTTGAGATCAATCCATTTGGTGAAACACCAGATGGCAAAGGTGAGATGCCAATCAGTGGCATATCTAGGAGTTTTGAAATGAGGTGGGAGGGGGAGGGAGGGAGAGTGGGGCTGATGTGGGCCTAAAGGTGAAGTGGGGCTTGATGATTAAGTGAAGGGGTGCAATTTTGCAAAATAAGGTGCTATGAGGTGATTTTTATCTACTTGAGTGTGATTTTGTTTGCTGTATTTATTTTGTTTATTTTAATTTTATTTCATTTCACCCCCAACAGCGTAAATGCCAATAACAGGGAGCATATAGTAAATACAATATAAAATCACAGCGATAAAATCTATAAAATCACAAAGAAACATTCAAAAATATTATAAGCAGTTCAAAAATATTCAGATAAAATTAATTTACAATAGTTACTATTATTCACAAGGAACATTATAAGAAAGTTCAATAAAATTCAATTCCAGAGCAGGTGAATGATCAAATGGCAAGTTTAACTTTGAACAAATTCAATGGGGGTAGAGGGGGGAGGTCAACGGTTAGGGGCTCACCCGCGCACCCCCATAGATGTACCTAGCAGTATGAAGCTGGGAACCCTCCACATTGGTTGATGTGCAGAATTGTGTGGAACAGCGTTAAGTCATCAGGCTTCCAACCGACAAGTCAGGGGTTCAATTCCGACACTAATGCTAATTTCCTTAGGCAAGACACTATCTGTGTTTGTCCCTCCTTGCAAGGGAGCACACATGTGTATGTGAAGGATTTGGATTGAAATTGGTTTTACGTACTCTGGTGTGTGACTGGAGTGGAAGAGGTTGAGCATTTTGCATGGCTGCTGTGTGTGTTTTCAACGACCAATGATAATCATTATTTGTGCCTCTAGATTGATGGTGCATTCTAAGTACTATCATTATCAACATTAAATCGTCATCAACATTTCAACATCGTCATCAGGGAGTTGAGTGAGTCAGGGCTCAGGTCATATTTAGCACTGATGATAGAAGGAAAAATATAGATTATATATAGACCTGTAACACTTAAACACAATAAAAATATCAGTATTTATCACCTACAATTATAGGGAACAGCAAATCTTGTCAAGAGAGAACACTCTAAACTGTTGTGTTGTGACAAATATCTACTCCATACTATTTTTTTGCTTGATCATTATCCTTCATATTTACATATAACAACTGTTTTTTAATAAACATAGAAATTTAACACAGAAATAGATATTTAATTTTTAATTACTATTAAAGAAGCAATACAAAGATTTTAAAATAATATTTCTGCAAATCATAAAAAAAGTTATTTTGATGTTTACTTTTAATTTCCAAGTTGTGTGTTTTGATGCGAAGATCAATTTTGATGATAATGCCAAATATCGACAGCAGGAACTATTCAAACTAGAGGACACGTCTGAAAGCGACCCCAGGGAAGTACAGGCAGCCAGCCACAACCTAAATTTCATTGGAATGGATGGCAATATAGGATGTCTAGGTTCGTTCAAACAATTTTCTAAAAATAATAATACAGGTCTCCCTCTAATTAAAGACCCTCCAATTAAAGACTACCTCCAATTAAAGACTACTTTTCTGTGGTTCCCATATTTAATGTCTATTATATTTATTATTCTAATTAGAGACCAAAGCTGCTGAAGACCATGAAAACCCCGGTCCCAAAAGTGGTCTTTAATTGGAGGGAGACTTGTAGTAATAATGACAGTAATAATAATTTAATAATTATTTCCTCAAAAGTTTAATTTAAAATGAAATTCTACACTTTTTATTTGTCATATATACAGTACAGTATGTCATATTTTCTTTCCTTTTTTAAAAAAAATTCCATATTTTATTAAATTTTATTATTATTGTTGTTTATATTTAAAAGTCTGAAAATTTATAGTTTTACACACTTTTTATATGCCATGATATATCTGTCATATTATTCTTTCCTTTTAAAAATTTAATATTTTATTAAATTTTATTTTTATTATTGGTATTGATATCATCCACCATACAGTTATTTGTGCAGACTTCTACATAGTCTAACCCTTATATGCGGGAAACAACAGACTATAAACAGGGGCGGATCCAGAAATGTCCAAAAGGGGGGGGGGGCCGAAAGTTGGGCCGATTGAGACAACACTGTCGTAGGGGGTCCGGGGCATTCCCCCGCGAATTTTTTGTGTTCTAGACTTCCGAATATAACATTTGAGGCATTCTGGGCTATCATTTTTTTCTTTTTCTCTCTTTTTTTCTTTTTTTCCTTCTTTTTTTAACCTTCCAAAAGGGGGGGGGCACCCCCCCCCCCCCCCCAAGGGCCGGCCCTGATAAACGATGATGATGTCTGTTCTAAAAGTTTTATGGAAGTCATTCATTTCTCTGTGCCTCGGTTGCACTTTCATTTCATTTCTTTAGGCACGAGCGCCAAGGATATGCCAATTAGTGAACTTAATGACTATCCTAAGTGGTATATCCATTAAACAATAGGGAACTGAATGGACCAGTATACCGGGGTAACCTCCTACTTTTCTGGATGCATGTACTGGGTTCTTTAAAGTGCACACCAACCAAATCCGTACACTGGGCCTACGGTTTAAAGTCCTTATCCAAGAAGACTTGTTCCACCACTGGACCTGTAAGAACCAGCGCCGATGTTGTAGCTGAAGGTTACAGTGCCTCTCTGATTTAACCGCTCGGCCAATTGACTTGCCAAATGACTTATCAACCGAAATTCAACTTATAATATCAACACATTCAAACAACTGCTCAAAACACATTTTCTTAATTTATATTTTGCTTAATTCTGAATTTTTCTTTTAAATGCAAAGTGCATTGAGGTTTTTTTTTTTTGTTTTTTTTTTTCTAGCAAACTGCAGTCAATCAAATTTGATCTCTTATTGTCATTATGATGATGATAATGAAAGTCACATACTGGTTTCAAGTTTATGATTTCTGAAATTTAATATTTTTAGTAAATGGTGCTGGTTTAGCAATGGCTACAATGGATATAATCAAGTTACATGGCGGAGAGCCTGCTAATTTCCTTGACCTTGGTGGCGGTGTTCAAGAAGATCAAGTTTTTGAAGCGTTCAAATTACTGAATGCAGATAAAAGTGTAAGTAATGGTTTATATAATAATAATCTTTTCCCAGAACATTTTATCAAATTCCTCTCCAGTGATTTCTTGAATAATTAATTTGGATTGCATTTAATATTTATTTTCTATTCAACTGTTCATTTCATAATATTCTTCAAGTTCTAATAAAGCATTGCCTCATGCAGTCATCTTTATGCAAATTTAAAGTTGTCACCTTTGACCTGACAATATACAATACCATTGTAACCTTTCTGTTTATTGTCTTAGACTACCTGTTTATATGGTTCTTGACCTCTACATTAAAGCTAATTATAGGTTGAATAGCCCAATAATCAGCCTGGCTAGTTGCACCATATAAAGACTGCTGGAATAAAATAAATGTAAAAAACATACAAGAAAAACTTTTTAATATATGATACAGTAATTTTTACCTTGCTATTTACAGGGTGCTATACATCTCTACAAAATTGCATAAAAAAGTAAAGATTAATGTTATTACAACAGTTAAGGTGCCAAATAGCTGAAATGTGATGACCCAAAGAAAATTTTCTGGTATACAACAGAATAATATAACAATAATAATTTTTTTGGAGAAATATTTTTAAAAAATTGCTTTCAGATTAGAGTACTACTGTACTCAGAAAACTTAATTATTGTCAAACAATTGGAACTTCAAACATGTTGCAAACATGTCCTAGAGGCCTACAGGTAACAGTATATCACATATTTTCTTTATAGGTGAAAGCCATTTTTGTGAATATATTTGGTGGCATTGTAAACTGTGCAACCGTTGCTAATGGCATAACAGCCGCATGTAGAGGAATGGATCTACGAATACCGGTAGTAGTAAGATTAGCAGGTAAGAGGCAGTGCTATGCGTCTACAGACTAACATTCAACAACTATCTACAGGAGATATGAACCAGTTACAGAATAGATAACTAAAGCTCTCTCCAGATTATTTTTTTTGACTAAAAGATGTTGTATGCCCATATATAGTCATGATGTGCCTATATATGAAATGACCATATTTAGGCATATCAAATGTTTTGTCAAATCAAATTTGATAGTCTAGTCGGGACTTTAAGGATGATTACATTTTTAGAAGAAAATTAATGAAACTAGGTCTATCCATAATACAATGATAACTAGACCAGTCACTCCATAGCATGTATACATCTGCCCTGTGCCCCTGGATACCAAATGATACTCAGGCGATGCATGGGCAATTCCATTATTTTCTGTTATGCTCGAGGGCGAGTTCAAAATAAAAAAAAATGTATTTCGCTGACGTCCTTTGACCTTTTATCTCTTAGATTATTATGTACCAATCTATTAAAATTTATAATAATAGTAATGTGGTCTTATAGAGTGCTTATTACAAAACAATGCTTCTAAGCGCTTTACAAAAACAGAAAAGAAAAGGAGGGATACCAAAGAAATATCCTAACAGTAACCAAAAAGAACAGACGCAGAGGAACCATTTTCACTGTTCTCCAGCTCTTCGAAGCTCCCATAATAGAGAGCTCGCCGGAACAGAACTCACAGGAGCTCGAGTGAAAATGGCATCTGACTGTCCTATCCTACCACAAAAGAAATGTATAAAGTGAATTTGATATAATTATGATGATCCGTTCCTTAGTTTTTGCATAATCTTGCTGACAGACCGACAGACAGGCAGCGGGGAATACATATCCTCCTTGACGGAGGTAATAAAAGGTGTCCTATAAATGTAAGCCACAGTTGGGAAAAGTGCAGCCAAAAGGCAATTTTGCTGCCGCCCTCAAAATGTATTAAAACTCCCATGTTTGTGGTCCACCTGCAATCTTTACCTCAAAAACCCCTTGTCCTTACGACTTGACACCTAATTTTGAGCATAAATTTGTTTAAAACTATGTAAAAATATCAAAATTTCTTAAAACATCCTCTCTGCTAAAATTCACTTTGGCCCTGCGATCCATTTTAATGTCCAGTTTTTGTTTTCTCCACAGGTATGAATGTTGACGAAGCTAGTAGGATTCTAGCTGAGAGTGGCCTCCCAATCCAGACCTCTGATAACCTAGATGATGCTGCAAAGAAGGCTGTATCTTGCCTCCAGTAATCTGTGACCTATGACCTACATTCTTTAGTTTTTATATATATATATATCAAAATTATTGAAATTAATTTCAATGCGTTATATATACCACTTTAATTTTTTGAATACAACAAATAATTATGTGGATTATAAATTACAAGATTTAATGAATCTGAACTTGTATACAGTATGTTGTTAAAATTACAGAATTATTATTTTAATTTATCACACCTTACCTCTACAAATTAGTACTGTAAAGATATACTGCCTGTAAGCAGAACTAATAAATTTGAAAAAATAAAGTATAATGTTGGAATTGCTTGCTTTATATTTTAAAATTTAAGCATTCAATTAAAAATATATTAAAAGAATATTTTCTTGCAAATCACCAGAAACTTTATGATACATCTCCTTTATTCTTTACTAGACTACTTTATTTGGCTGGTGATCAATTAAATTAATTAAATGATTTTTGTAGTAAAAAAATAGAAATCTGCAAAAACGGAATTGTTTTGTTCTGGGTTGTTGCATTAGATAACGCTCTATCCCATTTGACAAAAAACTGTTGTATGCCCATATATGGTGGTCATAATATGATGTCATCATGACCATATTTAGGCATGTCACATGTTTTGTCAAATAAAATTTTATAGTCTGGACAGAGCTATAAGATTTACTTAAATGAGTTTTAAGTGTATTAACACTGCCCTCTATTGATTCAACTTTCTGAGTTTTATAGAAAACTAATCATATTATGGTATAACATTCAGGTTCTCTGCAAATGAATAAAGTATTCATTGATTTAATAGGCAGACAAATATAAAAATTCCAATATTTTTACTTTACTCTATCCTCTTTTGTAGTGATATCTTTTCTGTAAAATGGTTGAAAATAATAATGTACTGTAAGCAATTAGGCCTACTTAATATCAGAGACACAGAATTTTAGTTTCATCATGATAAAAAATATATATACTGTTCAACAGAAAATTATACAAAATGACAGATTTTTTAGTTCAGTATTTGTCTTATGGTTTTTGAGAACTTGATGAAAATAAAAATACCATTACTGGATATTTTCTGTGAAGAAAAAATACTAGCCCAACAAGACTTTTTTTAACTTGCTTATAGTAGGCCTTTATTGTATAAAAACATTCGTAACCAGCAGTTTCAACTGAAGTTGGTAGTAGTTCCACAAGACGAGGTAAACAAAGAGCAACAAGGATAACCCACAAAAGTCCTGAGACTACCCCTCTCCCACCTAGGTTTATTTCACCTAAGAGTCGTACGATTTCTACGAGTTAAAACTCGTGATCTTTGGAAAGGACCTATACGAGCTTATTACGTGTTAGCTACGAGTGAGGTACGACTTTATGGAGTTGGTTACGAGTTATGTACGAATAATGCCGAGCTGAGCACCGAGTTAACTACGAGATTATTAAGAGCGCAACAAGTTTGTACCGAATTAGATACGAGTTGGGTACAAGCCAACTCGGTGTGCTGGTACTTACTCGTACTCGTTTTTGGGTGCTCGCATCAAACTCGTAGATGACAAAACCGCCGACGAGTATCCATAGTAGTGTACAAGCTAGGTAGGAGTACCCCGAGTACTCTACGAGCTACCTACGAGTTCTTCGAGTTTACTACGAGTTATCTACTCGTTGCGATAATTTTGAACATGTTCAAAATTAGCGCCACGAGTTCAGAGCTGCTACGAGTAGGTAAGAGTCCACTCCGAGCTTTCCGAATCGTCCTACGAGTTTTTGCCGAGTTTGCAACTCGGCATTCTCTTGTAACTCGTATGCTGAAAAAACCCCTAGTGGGAGAGGGGCTTCCAGTGGGGTCCTTCTGGTGGTGAATTTGTCAGTAAACCGGGAGACAATCCCCTACTCTTTCCCGAAGCAAATCAGCAAATTCATTTGGCAATTACATATAAATAAATAATAATAAGATTTATAAAGCGCACAAATCCACTGCAGTATATACTGTCTCTTATACACATCTAGATAACGCTCTATCCCATTTGACAAAAAACTGTTGTATGCCCATATATGGTGGTCATAATATGATGTCATCATGACCATATTTAGGCATGTCATATATATCCTATACGATTCCTCTTCTTTAACATATATTATTTACAGCATTACCGCAAGACGGTTGAGGGTTTATCTTTATCATATAATGTACCTCGTGTTGCCGTAAATTGCTGATAAGAAGAGGGCATATCATATTTATCTTTGTTACTTGACTAGTGCTGTCTAATACACATGCGCATGAATGTGAAAGAATTAGGTGTTTCAATCGGATTTGAATTTCAAACAAAAACTCAGTTGCCTGTTAGGGCACCTATTTTTGTTTACTTTAAGGTAAGATAAGATAAACTTTACTGTCATATTCCAAACAAGTGAACTATGATATTACAATCTCGATGCTCGATAAAGTATCAAAATAAACGAAAATAAATAAAGCATCGTCATTATAGCGCCACTGATTATTTCACGTGACTGATTGCTTGATCGATCAATCAATCGATCGATTGACTGGTTATTTGAAATCAGTTAATGACCCCATATTCGATTTATTCACTTCTTAAAACAACATGTTTGTCGTCCTTCAATTTTTCATATTTTTAGGGGGCTAATTTCATTGTTTTTGACAACAGGGCCCAATTTTTAGCAGTCTTATTAACTCCAAGGTTTGAGTTCAGTTACAAATCATGTAATTTGAATCGTATTGACCCGCATCATCCGATCCTGTAGCTGGTCATTGTTCACAGTGAATGTTAATTTGTCACTCGAATAGGACAGAAAATCGAAACAACTTCAGTTTTACTCCTGGAATCTTGAAATAACGTTTGCGATTTTTTAAAGCCTGGTAAGCCACGAAAGTTTTATTTTCAACCGTTTATTTAGTTTCTCTCCTCGGCCAGTAGCAAGGGCACTGTATCCGGAGCGTATACTTTTGGATTGGCAACTAATAATACGTGGAATTTATGGTGATGAATCAACAACATAAAACTATAATTTACAGCCACAGTGCCGCTGGGACCCCCGCCCCTCCCAAAACACACACACCGGAGCCATAAGCTACCCCGCCCAGATTTGGTCCGAAAGTCATAGATCCCTAAAAAAAAGTGGAATCTGACGTATCGTGGTGTACATGGGTTGCGCATGGGGCAAGTGGCAACAATTACCGAGATAATAGTGACCTGGATAAAATATGGAGACGGTCCAATACTTTTTTTTTTTTTTTTTTCTTGGTTTTTTTTTTTTTTTTTTCTAAGAGCGTGCAGTTTTATTGCAAATTATAGATAAGATGATCACGAGTCTTGCGGGAGGCTATCTGTCTTCTTTCAGATTGCAAGTGTGTGATTGAAGACAACCTGCACTTTGGACTGTAGATCAATGCTTGGTAGGTGTGCCACGCATCCTTCGATCTGTCGATGAAAGCAATTGGGGCCAGCGGCGTAGCGAGATTGTGGCGGGCCCCAGTGCATGACAGTTACCGGGTCCAAAATGCACCTAATCGGACCCAGAGAGACGCAGCCTTGGTGGGTCTACAGCGGAATGCTCATACTTTCTGAGATTTTTGAAAACAGATACGGCATTGTAAATATGTAATGTAGAAGCGCAGACATATCTATAAAATATTCAAGGATATCATGAGAACGAAATATGGTCGTCACATTAATTGATCGTTTAGGGCCTATTTTACATATCATAAGTCTCTGATAAAGTATAATATCGACAAAAATAGCTGAACAATCATCGACCATATTTGCAGTTAAATATATATAAAAAGTATGATGACCTGACAAGATTAAAGGTAAAATGTATTCAACTTCAAGTGTTTGATGGCACGTAATAGGTAAATTGCAACAAATATAATCAATGATTGGCCTCTGAAACCTGATATTGTTAAGGTGTCCTTTGTAAGTAGAAATTTTTGAAGTTATATTTTTAGATCTATAGACCTATTGAACGGGCCCCAATGGGCCTGGCCCAAGTGCTGGCTGCACTGCCCATACCTAAGCCATTGATTGGGGCACTTTCAAAATTTGTAGGCATACCGTACGCGCGCGAATAAGCGCCCCGTTTGAATAAGCGCCTTTTTCTTTTTTAGCAATCAATAATCCAATCAATTCTGGGACTGTGGTTGTTGGCATGATTTAAGCTGCAGAGTGGAAACACATTCTTCTTAGGTCAATATCAAAATGAGGATATTTCTCTTGGACAGACGAGAGTTCCGATCCTGGACAGACAGTATATTTCTAACTTTACTCTTTTTACATATTTGGCTATGCCTAGTCCTACTCCTCTTTTTCTTTTTCCGACCTTTAGCACATTCTCATCTGAGTTTTCAAGAAAAAATACAATGATCTTGCCATCCTGCTAATCTCAATCGGCCGATGGCCAACAAGCTAACCACTACCCACCACCACTAATTCCATCTGCTATTTTGCTGTTATGTAAATATTCACGCATTCTTGTCATGAGCCATCTTCTCACATGGCTCATGACGATTATCTTTTCCGCCTAACTACCATTCAAAAAGTGCCTCTAGAATTTAATACCGTAATTTCCCATAAAAACCCCTCGATTTTCATCTATTTCCATAAGCAACCCCTCAATTTCCACTCTCTTTTCATAAGCGCCCCGTTTGAATAAGCGCCCCTCAGAAAGTGCAAAAAATAATTTAGGCGCCCGCTTATTCGCGCGACTACGGTAAATCATAATTTCAAATATGAACAATCAATATCAGAAAATGACATTGACTTGTTCGAAGTCAAAAAACAGAAAGTTAACGATTTAATTCTCGGCTGCCAGGTAATGCTGGGAAAGCTGTCCTTGACACGAGAACACTCGACACCTTTTATTTCATTCTAATTTTCATAGGCCTAGAATATAATGATATTAGCCTCATTATATTACAGTTCCCAATTAATTTATCTGTTAATTATTTCTATTCTTACTCCGCCCCTTAGTTTTTTGTCCTATCACCATGTTCATTAATCATATTATACTTTACGGTACTTTTTATCATAATTATTGTAATAGCCAACTTATATTTTGTTTGTCACACATGCTGAAGAAGACCCGAGGACGGGTTGAAATATTCATGTTTTGAATACAATTTTTGTTCAAAGTCTACCAAGTCGTTGACATCCTGTCTCTTATACACATCTAGATGTGTAAGGAAATGGTGATGACATTAATTATAATGACATAATTAATATCGAAATATTGAATCCCGACACGATGGCGTGCATTTTTAATTAGTCATCCCATCATTATGTAATTTTTTTTCTGCAGTAAAAAGTCAGCGAATCACCACCGAACTCTTTTGTTCATTAGAAGTACAGGCATAATGATTATGAATGTTTTTAATGAGCAATTTATGTTCACTTGAACTTAAAAATGGTTATAAAAAAGCACAACGAAAAACATTTCCATCTAATAGCAATAGGCCTACATATATTAAAATTGATTAACTTGGTCCATTATTCTCGGCTATATAAATCCACAAGGTGTAGGCCTACATGCTCACAGATAATAATATATATCAGACGATTGGTGTTGGCGTGAATTGTGTTAAACCACCACCCGATACATCATTTTGATTGTCAGAATATTTCAAGGAATCGTCCCGGTACACTGAATAGTAATATTCAGATAGGCATAATCCAGGTACTGTACATTCTTTATTTAGTAGACGCTTAGCTTTAGTATGAGCCTTAGTTTTTATGGTTTTTTTGTTTTTTTTTTGTTTTTTTTGTTTGTTTTTTGAATTGAGTATGACGTCTCACACTTTCTTGGTCTCAAACTCTCAATCGACTCTCTGAACCCCAAAATATACCGGTACGATTTAATTATTAGGTAGGCCTACCTGTTATAATTTCAATAGACGCCAATTTGATTATATATAATGGTTCACAATCTATTGAATTACAATTTAAATTACTATTATTACACTTTATAATATTTTCTATGTTGGTTTTTTCTCGTTGTAAGACCTAAGTTGGCTACATCAGCCTTTTAAAATCGTATCTTTTTGGGAAAAATTATCATTCTCTCTAAATGACTTTTTTTTTTAGAAATGTGTATGTGGTGGGGGTAGGGGTGGGGTACCAGCCTATGAATAAACATGTCAGAAAGGCATGTGAGGTGATAAATGGCACGTGTACGCACGCGCTGGACGTGTTTACAGAGCAGCGCGCCACGAGTGGTATATAGCAAAGAAACATCTCTATTTGATCTCGCTCTCTCTATTCATCTCTCCACCCCATGCCTCGGCGCTCCGATCCCATCCAAAGTGAGATTGGGTATATAGGCTTAGGGCCTGTAGGGCTAGTAAGTTTCTCGTTCTATTCATTTGGATGAGAAGACACTCAATAAGACAAGGTACGGTAATTTTTAATTCAACCACGAAAACGTTATTACGCTAGCTCCATACAGCTGAGAGAGAGGCCCATCATATCTAGGCTAGCTAATAGTAATAGTAGTAGTAGTAGTAGTAGGGGGCGCGGCCTACTCTAGTACTATCCCTCTCCCTATATTATAAATAGGCTGGCCTAGGCCTCTTTGGAGAGTCGGTGTTGGGTGGGGGGAGGTGGGGGTTATGCGTCAGCACATAAGGCCAGCTAGTATAAAGCTTAGGCCTAGTATTTTTGTTATATAATAATATTATTAATTTAAATTAAATTATAAGTTGAAATTTAATAAATAAACAAAGAAAGGTAGGCCTAGAGCCTAGAATATAACTAGGCCTAGGCCCTAGGCCTAGCGCGCCTAAAATAGGTATGTACAATATGATTTGAATACATTAAAAATTATCAATAGAATGAAGTGTTAAAATAAACTAAATAGTATATAAAATAATAGAATATTCTATATTAAATATAGAATAGTAAAATGAATAGAAATAATATAATAATCGGTATTTTAATTTCACACGTAACAAAACTACATTTGCAACAAAGGGAGAAAGAGGCCTATTTTGTACATTTTTAAAATTGTATAACAACCAGGCAATAGACCCTACACTCATTGACACATAAAATTCAATACAAAAAATAGACTTAGTTAAACTGAAATTTGGAGTTTCCTTATTCATCATTATTTTAATCTTTATATACAGAATAGGCCTACTATAGATACTCCAGGAACTTAATAAGGAGGGGATGGGACTATTATTAAATTAAAGCGTTCAGCTTTAATAAGAGGGGTCTCGTACCGTACGTACTTTCTGTTCTGGCGAAGTTCCATTGTCAAGACGTTTATGTTATATAAAAATATATTTCTATCGTAGTAAAACTATAGCATTCCTACCCATGCATAATATAACATAGCCTATCCCCTAAATAGTACTGGACACTCTGGTCTACATTATTATGCTAAATATTTTTTAATGCAATGTACTGTGCAATGTTTTATGCCTCTCATATTATACCGATTTGAATTGATTTATGTGAGGTTTTTGTCCATTACCCTTACAGTTATAAATGTATAGTTTTGTAATAAATAATTAGCTGTTAATAGCATTATTATTTTTATGGTTTTCAATGCCAAAGCATATGCTTTCTTTATTTAAAATCAATTTTATTTTCCACATTTGTTCCATAACACTGCACTTGTAATTGTTTCCAAGGAATATTAATTACTTTGTATTCAACAAACCTGTGTATTAAATTTTGGGTTTTTTTTCCTAAGCAAAATTCACAAATTGGTGATTCAACAATATATATCTTATGAAGAAAGAAAATCTAAACTGAATATTTTGAAGTTTTGTATTGATTGTGCATTCTAGTTCTAAAACTAATTATTAATTAGTTACGGTATTAATTAATTTAATTCCGAAAAATATGACAATTTAGGGGTTTCACCCCCGACCGGGGGGGGGGGGGCGCTGGCGCCACCACTCTTTCTAATATTTACAAGGATTTCTTTCTCGTCTAGCTGCATGACATCAATATGACCGAAAAGATAGACGAACACCCAGACACGGCAGCAGAGGTTGTTGAAGATGAACGAATACGATGGGACAAGGGTTTGGACTTCGTCTTGTCCTGTATTGGGTTCGCCGTTGGATTCGGTAATATCTGGCGATTTCCGTATCTATGTTACAAGAACGGAGGAGGTGAGTTTTTCATACTGACTTACGGACGACAACTAATAGACGAGGTGGTAATAATGATGATGTAGATGATGATGATGATGATGGATGACAATGCCGATGACGATAATGATGCTACGATTAGGTCTCAACTACAATCGCATGGCGATCTGATGGTAATAGTTATGTTAATACTAAGATGATGATGATGACGACGAGGACGATAATGATGATAATAGTGACAATTAGGATGACGACGGATGACAGTGCCGATGACGATAATAATGATGATAGGATAGGTAACTACAATCGTATGGTGATCTAATGAAGATGATTATTATGATGATGATGACGACAACGACAATGATATTGACAATTAAGATGATGATGGAGGACAGTATCGATAAGGTCTCAACAATCGCAAGGTTATCTGATGGTAATGGTTGTGTGAATGATGATGATGACGATGATATGGTAATAATTGTGTTAATACTAATCATAATGATGATGATGATGATGATGATGATGATGATGATGATGATGATGATGACGAAGACGATGATGATGCACATAATGATAATGGTAACGATGATCATAAAAAAAAGTGTTGCTAAAGCCGACTGCTGCCGTTGTTATTGTTAATAGGTGAAGCTGGTGATGAAAAAGAGCATGGTGGGGATGAAGCCGATGATGATGATAATGATGATGACGATAATGATGATGATGATGATACTGATGATGATGATAATGATGATGACGATCATGATGATGATGATGATGATGCGGATGATGAAGATGACGATAATGATGATGTGGATGTGGATAGGGATATTGATGATGATCAGGAAAAAAACTAAGCAAAATATAAATTGATGTGTGTTTCGTGTTTACATCTTTTTTTTTTTAATTATTATTATATCAGGTGCATTCTTTATTCCTTATATCTTATTCATGGTCTTCGCCGGAATCCCTTTGTTCTTGTTGGAGGTAACGATCGGTCAATTTATGTCCTATGGTGGAATACGGGTTTGGAACATATGCCCAATATTTAAAGGTATTTCAACTTACTACACTGCAAAGTATACATAGAGAAAATAACTATCCCTAATAATAATAATAATAATAATAATAATAATAATAATAATAATAATATATGCCCAAAATATATTATAAAAATATATATAAAATGCACGCTCCAAACAGAACAGAAGTCATATTGATATAATAATGTTGTCGTTGTTGTTTATTAGAAAATAGAAATAATTTTTGATGTTCTAAAACAAAATATGGTATGAGTATGGCTTGATTTAAGTTTCTTGGCAAATGCTGGCTGGGTTTTTTTTTCACCCGTTAAAATAATTAGTTAAAAATATTTTAGTTGCCGATGATTTTGATGACACCATTTTGTTGTTGGTATGACATTTAATAATTATATGTTTACAGCCCATGTGCTAACGTTGGTTGATGTAATTTTGATATTAATTACTTTTTATCTGGCTAAGGAACAATTGCGTTCTAATTTGCAACAATTTTTAAAAAATTTTTGCTGTTTTGAAAACCGAAACAAAATAATGAAAGTAAAGGTTAAGTTAAATTTAGGAGAATAACTCATAACTTGCAGCGTCATTGTGCTAAATTGCGTAATGGGCGTGGTCCGTGACTATCTAGCAGCCGTAAAGAGGTGCCTTCATGTTCACATCATTCCACAACGACAGGGGCTGAAATGAACCATAACATCGAGGTAAAATACTGCTCCGTTTATATCCGGCCTTTATAAAACGCCCCGGTGCGTTTATTCGAATAAATACGGTATTAGAATTAATTTTTCAACAGTATTACCGTTTAACGCAGTCTTTATGCATTTTTCTCTGATTAGGAATTGGCCTGGCAACAACTGTCATTGACTTTTGGTTGAACCAGTATTACATTGTCATCATAGCTTGGGCTCTATTCTACTTTTTCTCTTCATTTACAACGGAGCTGCCATGGTCGCACTGTCGAAACAAATGGAATACTTTCAATTGTACGGAATTCAAAGTGAGCGTTTCGGTATAGACTTTCCATTACACCCCTAAGTAAATTTCACATTAATACTTACCGGTACATTATTAGGATTTGCGCTGATTGTAGTACAACGAAGAAAGGAGTCTCCAAAAATCTACAAGGCCATATTTTCTACGTTTCGCCTCATGAAGCAAATGGCTTGTCAATTTTTTGATTGGAGTCGCCTTTCTTCTTTTCCATATCAGTATGTTTTTTTAAAGTTTGTAAAGTTTGATTTTGGCAGTACCGAGGGATTTTTTTATCCATTAAAATGATCCATTTCTTGCAAGTACTAAAATATTCTAGTGGATAGGAAGTTACCGAATATCAGAAAACATGGTGTAACTTTAATTTTCATTGCCACCGGCGAATCGGTCGGTCTGACGTCCAAAAACAACGTTCAAAAACAACGTTCTGTTCACGGACTTTTCCGATGAGTTCAACCTCTGGTTAATGATGCGAAGATCATACAAAACGACAGCGTAAACGTACGTAGATGCACGAGAGTTTGTGACACAACACTTCAATTCAATTCAGACTCACGTGTGTTTGTGGGAAAAGTACGTAATTTGGCCGGCCCTGATTAGTCGGTTGTTAAGTTTCACACTCCAGATAGCTTTATTTTAACAGTTGAAAACGTCCTATCGTTTGCTGAGGATGGAAACCTAGGAATTCAAACGAGTATTATTATACACGTTTTAAACACCGTATTTTCTAATAGTTTTATATGTTAATGTAGGCCTACATGATTTTAATTATTCTTCTTAGTGATTATGAATTAGATAGTTCTGAAAATAGTCTTAGCATTGTAGATAATATCTCGAGGCTTTGAATCGGATTTCTCGTATCATCGTCTCAGCGTCGAAAAATTCCAAAAAACACAACAGTTCTTTTCAGTGATTCTATTTTTATTTCTTGCAAACCTTTAAACATTATGATTGTACTTATAAATATTATCCGCATTTTCATATTTTGGACTAATTTCACGTGAAATTTGTTTTTTTCAGAGTGGTTACGTCGATCAACTAAGTAACTACACCGCAAATGAAACACGTGGCTATGAGACCGTATCACCTGTAGACGAATTCTGGGAGTACGTAGCCCGATCTGCGTGTAAAGCTTGGTTTCCATATAATTGCTACATGCTATCACCGACAGCTATTGGTGATGCCGATTGGTCGGTCGAATCGGGGAGCCTTTATGTCTGCGTTGGGGACAGTTACGCAGTACAACGATTGCACTGAAAGCACTGTAGCGACAGTGTAGCGATTGTATGGAAACCAGGCTTCTTTCTTCCATTCAATCGCTACACACTGCCACCGACAGCTTTCGGTGATGCTGATTGGTCGGTCGAATCGGCGAGCCTTCCGATTGCGTCAGGGACTGCTACGCAGTACAAAAATTGCGCTGACAACACTGTAGTGACAGTGTAGAGATTTTAAGAAAACCAGGCTTAACAAACTACCAGCCTTGACGCCAGAAATTTGCCGACATGTCCGACGGAGGGGTCCAAGGCGACGACGAAGCCTCGGATAAAAAATATCCCCATGAGGAGAGTTTTTATGGCTTTTTGGTCTTAATTGTGCTTTGAGACCACAATAATACAGATTGGCAATCAAAATATAGTAGCGTTATTTAGATAGGAAAATTATCATTTTTAAAATAAATTTTGGTCCGACGACCTAGTCGTTCGTCGGACGGGCCTGTCCGCTGGCGCCACCACTGCACACTACCAACCGACTGCATGCGTCATAAAGCCCGGCGCACAATGCGTTCTACGCGACCATCGGCCGACGAATTCATTCTCATCTCCGCTTGATGACACTACGCTGACTGTCGATTATCAGTGTCCGTCTGAGCGGATTTTCATAAAAGCCGATCAATTGCGTGCGCCTTGTCGGGTTGTGTTTTCCAAAGAACGGCGTCGTCCGACAATAGTTCGGCGCAGTGTGCCCTCGGCTTTGTAGCACATCTTCACCAATATCTTCAGTAAAATTATACTTTGACTTGAACGTGTAAAAAAAAATAAATTTTGTTAGCTTGTTTCAGAATGACACCGGTAAATATACAATATTTGATTGATTCATTAAACACACAATTTACGCTTGCATTTCAGGCGGGAAGTATTGCAGATAACACATGGTCTATCGGAGATGGGTGGTCTACGCTGGAATTTGGTCGGCACTTTACTAATAGCCTGGGTTCTGAATTATTTTTGCATTTGGAAAGGCGTTCGTTCCTCAGGAAAGGTAGATATAATCAATTTAAAAGCACTGAGATGTGGTCCTTGACGGTGATTGTTTAATTTGTTAACGCGTAAGTTGCCAGGTCCGTAGCCAGGTTCTTCCAAAGGGGGATCTCTGGGCATGGGGTCCAGGAGCGAAGCCTCGGTGGGGTCAGCGAAACCCCAGAGGATTGTTGTGTTCTATGGGTCTAAATAATGCTATAAAAGCAGTTATGTTTGAAAAAGGTCTGCAGCAAAAAAATCCGTCTGAGTGGGTAGGTCTGCAGTGCATTATTTGGATTTGAGTACTCGTTCGGGAAATTCGAAGGGGGTTTGCTAGAAAAGGGAGTTTGCCCGAACCATAACCCCCCCCCCCCTAGCTACGGGCCTGGTTGCAACCTGCCAACTCCCCTTTTTTATAATATAAAATGTAGGCCTATTTCTAGGTATAACAATTATGTTGAATTTTTAACTAATAACGAAAAGGGATTATCGGGTGTACGACTGCAAGAAAACTCGAAGGTTACCAGAAGTGTGAAGTAGGCCAAAGTCTGTTGTGTAGGTCATTAGCTACTTCTTTCAAGATTTTGACAGGTGGCTATTTCGACAAGGACAAGGAACATAAGACATTCCCTAAGATTTAACTTACAGTTCTAAAAAATGCAATGGGACCTCCCCCCACCCCGTCTTAATTATGAACATTGAATAAATTCATCAAATTTCATTGGGTACGATACGTTTTTGCCAACGATATTGCTTCAACAATAAAGAAAATTACAATCAAATTATTGTGTTGTTTTACTTTTTCTATATCAAATCTACTAAATCCTAACAAATAGTTTTTCAAAAAAAAATGTAGGTAGTTTACTTTACCGCAACGTTTCCTTACGTGATAATCACAATCTTGCTGATTCGAAGTGTTTTGCTAGAAGGGGCTGCCGATGGACTTATCTACTACCTTAAGCCTGACATCACACGGCTCCGCGATGCACAGGTAGGCTATTGATAATGGAATGTGCAAAATTATTGCAAATATGATTTTGATGACTATTAATTTATAAATAAGAGACCCGTGTCGAATAAACTGGATCCCCTAAGGCTCGGTTTCCATAGAATCGCTCACCCTATCGGCGACAGAGAAGGTTGAACTTGCGTAGCAGAAGAATTAGGGTGCATTGCTAGCTGCCCTGAAGCAATCGGGAAGGGACCCCGATTCGTCTGCAACGCCATCGGCAAAGTTGAACGAGATTCAACCTTCCCGACAACTGTCGGTGACTGCGATGGTCGGTGACTGCGGTGAGCGATTCTATGGAAACCAAGCTTCCCAGTCAGACTTCACTTTTGGGCTGTTGGTCTAAAGATATCAATTTACCGATCAAGTTATTGTGATTGCAGAATTCAATATATTTTAACTAAAAGCACAATTTTTACCTTCCCCCCCCCTGTCTCTTATACACATCTAGATGTGTATAAGAGACAGACTTACCTCCCCCCACTCCCACTTACCTTCCCCCACTCCCACCCAAAAAACAACCTAATCTCTCTTGCGGTTTTACCCTTGGACACTGGCCGAAGTCATAAGACGTTTTTTCGGTTCGGACCACTGTCGGACTTGTTGGCCCCCTCAGGCTCTAAGTGGGGACACTTTTGGAGCGATCTTTCTTTAGCATTCATGACAGGACCGTCATGCTAGGCCTGTACCAAACATCAATTTATGTAAATATCATATCAGTTATTATCGATTTTCTCCTCGCATTTAAGGTTTGGGTCGACGCGGGAACACAAGTTTTCTTCTCATATGCCATTGGAATTGGGTCTCTTACGGCACTTGGTAGCTACAATAAATTTAACAACAATTGCTATAGGTAATAAATAAAATATCAATGCATTGATTGGTATTGAGAACAGTGGCGGATTTAGGGGTGGGGGAGGCAGTCGGCCTGCTCACCTCCTAAATGTTTCAAAATAGAAAAAATAATAGGCCTACAGAAAAAAATTGTATTCAAATTTAAGTCTCAGAGTGCCATTTCCTGAATCCGCCACTGGAGAATAATATGAGATTTTAAAGTTTTCTTAATTTTGTATGCATATCCCATAGAACCTATTCACTTTACTATTACATAATTTATTTAAATAATGTAGATTGTAAAATATATAGGCCTATGGACCTTTATCATTTTAGACCTTCGTGACTGGCCCAAATTATATTCTCATTGTGTATCATACCTTTTTTCAAGGGATACGATGATAGTTGCTTTTGTAAATAGTTTCACCAGTTTCTACTGTGGACTGTTGATTTTCTCCGTACTTGGTCACATGTCAGTTGAGGAGGGTCTTCCGATTTCTAATGTTGCCACGACTGGTAAGTAAAACACAAGCGTTTATTCAGCAAATCAGAGAACACAATTACTCATTATAGCGCCCTCAAATATTGTTGGACGTTTTAGGATCTTTGGTTGTGTGAACAATATTACGGCGTGAACAAGATTCAACACTGTCCACTAAGACACCCGGCTAGTTACCTGGAGGTCGTTAGTCCGATTCTTAAAATGATAGTGAATATGTAGTATCTTCATTTTCGTACCTGAAATTTTAAAACGAATAGGGCTACATAAATTGACTGCGCACTACAGATGGTTTTGTCCAGGAATCAATTGACTGGCATGAGATCATGCCGTATAATGGGACTTTACATTTCTGATTCCCCTTGTATTACTGCGGGTTCATTAGACAATTCCATTAAACTATATTAACATTGTTAATAATTATGGCCATAGGATCTACTCATTCTAATCATTTAACTAAACAGTTGGTAAATAATATATGCTTAAAATTATATAACTTTTTCTACATTCGAATTTGATCACCGATTCTCAAAAAACGCATGCAGCATGAATTGAAATTACGACGATTGTCTATAGGTAAACAATAACTTGATAAAATTATACGGATTTGTATTACGTATTGTATGAAGTATTTGTTATTTTGGCAGGGCCTGGTTTGATATTTATTGCATACCCAAAGGCGGTATCGCTGATGCCATTTGCGCCTATGTGGTCTTGCCTGTTTTTCTTCATGCTTCTTTTGGTTGGAATGGATAGTCAGGTAGGGTTCTGCTAACACTTAGCGGCAGTGTTGGTGACGGTGTGGGTGAAGGCAAGGGTGGTGATGATGTTGGTGGGGATGGTGAGGGTGTGGGTGAGGGTGAAGGAGGTGGCGGTGATGAGGGTGGTGAGGGTGACAATGGGTTAATGTGAGGGTGGGTGGTGGTGAGGTTAAAGGCAACGCTAATGGTGTTGGTAAGGGCGATGGCGGTGGCAGTGAATGGTGAATGTGAGGACGAGTGTTAGTGGTGAGGATGATGATGACGATAATCATAACCACTACTATTGCAACTACCACTACCATACTACTAATACTATAAGTTTTGATTGTTTTTCAGTTCGTAACCGTTGAGGGCTTTGTGACAGCAATTGCAGACTTTTTTCCTCGATATCTTCGACGTGGCTACAAGCGGGAAATCTTCGTACTCATAGTCTGTGCTTCCTCCTTTTTATTTGGTCTTTCCATGGTTACACGCGTAAGAGTATTATTATTTTTTTTAAATTTCAAATCATCTACATTTCCTCACTTGCAGTCACATGGAGACAACTGCGTGAGCGAAAGTTTGTAGGCCTAATTTAAAAACAGGCTTCGGCGTGTAGTTTTTAAATATTTAAAAACCTGTATCTCATTAACATTTTTTCGTCAAACACCGTTTTTGTGTCTAGAAAAATCAGTTATACAACATATCAAATTTTTCCCCCTCCGGAGCCTGACTTTTATAAAGTTTGTTGTTCTGTAAAGTGCTGTCTAGCACATAGGCCAATTCATTATTATTTCAGTGGGCCACCCTAATTATTTTATCAATGTGCAAAACCACTTCCAATAATAATTTTTAAAGTTTTAATACATCTGAAAGTACATGTTTTCAAATACATAATTTTTGTGAAAGTTTTTTTTTGTATTTACAGGTTTCTCGTTTACATGCGTCTATGCAGTGGCGTAACGCTCATGCGCTCTTGTGCAGCGGTCCGCAGGGCCCCGGACCCCTAAGGGCCCCGAAGGTGCCCCTTCCCATAGGGTCCTCGATCTAGCACCCTTACCCAAAAGGGCTTTGTTGATACATAACAGTATAATGTGTCTCTGAGATCGACTAAAGGGCGACCACTCGGCTAAATTTTCCAATTGTTTTAAAAATGAAGATAAATGGAAAATTATGCTCACATTTTAAGTCTCTGAGTGCCATTTCCGGCCATTTAGAGGTGCCATAATCATAAATTTTTTACTCAGCCCCAACCATGGTGGGGCTGAGGTGGTATAGATCAGTGAAAGTCCCTCCCTGCCCCATTCCCTCTCTATTCCAAATACACTGATCTGCAACTGTATCATATAATTTATTTGGTCGTTAAAAACAATCTAGAATACAATGACAAATATTAGAAAAAGGAGCACATCTAAAACCCCACACTATCGAATTGGCGACCGGCTCAAAAAGGGGCCCCAGTCTCAGAAAGCCACAGGGCCCCCGGGGCCATCGTTACGCCACTTCGTCTAAGGTGAAAATTCATAACAGCGCTCTCGATTTTTAAGTAATATTTCTGGAATCAAAAAAATATTTCTATTAGTGTCAGGTTTTATTGACCTATTCTTAATTTCGACTGAACTCTCAACATCGAACTTTTGTAGATTTTACCGCCTCATTTTCTTTTCTTGGAAGTGGCTTGGCGCAGCGGGAACGGTTTGCTTTCCAATTCTCGAGGTCGGGGTTACAATCCCTCGCTGTACATTTCACTTGTGTTCTTGGGCAAGGCACTTTATCTACATGTTTTCTCTCCACCCAGGAGTATAAATGGGTAGCTGGTAGGGTTAAATGCCAAAATGCGCTGATGTAGCTGCTGCAGTGTTATGGAATACTCCCCCAGGGAGCTTGAGTTTGTGTTAATGATTATATGAAGCAAATAGGGAGCTCGACAATGCACTATTTAAGTCTACCATTATTATTATTTTCTTAAAGGGTGGTATGTATGTGTTCCAAATATACGATTATTTTTCGGCCAGTGGTATGGTTCTACTCTGTATGGCTTTCTTCGAGTGTGTGGCTATAGGGTGGATTTACGGTAAGTTAACTTCTGTATTAAATACTATTACTAGGCCTATTACTACCTGCGCCAACAGGGGTGGATCCAGAAGGGTCGTGAATATGTGAACTGAGCGAGTCTCAGAGAAGAACCCCAGACCTTTATGAATTGACTTTGTATTTGATTGCTTTTTACTATTTAACATGCTAATTTTCTGTATCTTTACAAAAAGTTTTTTTTTTACACAAAATAGTGTGGGCGTACGCCCTTACCTCCCCCTGTAAATCCGCTACAGGACAAGGACGTGATGTATTTATCGCTGTTGTCCTGTTTCTTTTTTTGTTGTTGTTTTGTTTTTGTTATTAGGGAGCTTTCGATGCGCGACAACGTTACGCTAGAACGGAATCACTTATGCGTGACTGGTCCTAATTGCGTCCTAGAATGCACACGACGAGAACTTAACGTCTTCGCATGCGCAGATGACTTTTAGTGACATCACTACGTTCTACGTCCTACCGACCATGGTCCTACCGTCGTCGGGCAACCGAAAGCTCCCTAATCTGTCAGCAGGATTAGGAAAAAAATCATTATCGTTTTTATTAGTACGATCATTAACACTTTATATTTTTATAGTATATTTTTGTAATATATTTTTATTCATTCCATATGAAGGCAATGTGAATAAATTACGTCATAGTAGAAAAAAAATATTTCAATTAGTATGACAATAGCGAACGCATTATGCAATAAATGATAGCATTCGTTTATTGATGATTAAATGGAAAGCTTACTAA